CCTAGCCTAATATAATTCATGCCATAATTCTATTTCAAGTTAGCTTACCAAAAACCGTGTTGGTGGGGTTCATTGCAACTTGATTCTTTGCAGCATCACCGATCAATCGCTCCGTATCAGTAAAAGCCACATAACTTGGAGTAGTTCGGTTTCCCTGATCGTTGGCAATTATTTCCACTTTTCCGTGCTGGAAGACACCCACACAAGAGTAGGTGGTGCCAAGATCAATGCCAACTGCAGGTCCCTTAGACATGGTTGCTGAAAGAAAAAACAGCCCAGTTTTAAAACCCTAATAAGCAGTTAGAAACAATTTCTTTAGAAAAACGTTAAGTCAGGCTATCGGGTAGGACCACTCTTTACTGCAAAGAAAACTTAGCAAGCCCCTCCAACACTGCCCTCACAGGCGATAATTATGTGGGTAAGATCAGAGCAAACAACGCTGCTAATCGAGGTTGCTGTCAACTGCAGCAAACCTGTACCGGGTCTGAAGGAAGCACCTGTCTGGAAGGTCAGCGACCACGTGGTCTCAAGCTCCGCGAGGCAGCGAGGAACCTCACATGGCTCCCCCTTCCCACAAGGCAGTCAGTGCTTAAAAAGCCAGCAAGGCCTGTGTTCCAAGTGAGCTCGGAAGCGCCCCTCCCCCACCTTGAGGACATGCCAACGATGGCTTCCTCTTTTAACGATCTAGAAGGAATAAAGAGCCACAGGACGGGCGGCTCTAAGGCGCTGGTCCCACTTCCTGCGTCCGGAAGGCGGATGCGGCCCCCTTCCCCAACGCGCCTGTCTCCCCGGCGGCCACCCCGGCACGCACGCCACCGCCCCGCTTCTCGGCCCAACTGCAGCCCAGCGCGCTGCCTCAAGCCTGAAAACTCCCCAGCTAGGAAGAGGGCTCACCGCACTCAGCTTACTGGAGCCGCTCGGAACCTCCGGGCCGCCGCAAGCCCGCTCGGGCCGGGCGCAAACCGCACGTTTCTCCAACAAACTACCGACCGCCTGAAAGGATGGAGGCCTTACCTTCTGTGTAAGCCCGACTTGCCAATAATAACGTAGACAGCTGCCCCCGCGTTCAATGAGACCGGTTTCCAGCCGCCACCCTGTCTCTTATACCCTGCCTCAGAACCTTCCAGAAGGGGCCCGCCCTGCTGGCTGCCCATCACAGTTATCTCGCCCAATGGGCGCGCGGCTGCCTCAACAAGCCCCAATGACTAACTCTACTCTGCCCCTCAGGCCTCGCCCCTCCCCGCCCCATCCCACCCCGCCTCGCGATGACGCACTCACCGCAGCGTTCTGGAACTTTCATTCTCGCCCCCGCCCTCCGAACGGCCCCGGGGAAAGGGCGGGTGGGGCTGAGAGAGCCCGCGCGCGGGAGTCCTCAGTCACCCCTGGCGGGGTAGAGCGGGGGGAAGAAGAGAGCCGGAGAGAGGGAGGAGGAGGGAGGCGGGGAGGTGCATCCAATTCTGCGCATGCGCCCTCGAGGGCGCAGGCAAGGGGAACGGAAGGAGAGGGAGGAAGGGGGGGAGGGCGAACTCGGAACCAACCAATGACGGCGGCCCCAGCCGAGATCTGGATCGAGGCGGAATACGGGAAGGGAGAGCGCAAGGCCTGAAGGGAGGGTGCAGGACTCGGCAGACTCGGAGAGAAGACGGAAGTAGAGCGAGGACAAAATGGCCGCGAAGGTTGTTGTGCTCCTCCCCCACCCAGGGTCTCATGCTGCGTCCCCCAGCCCTCATCTCCGCTTTGCAGACGGTCCTCCAGACCCTTCCGGGTTCCACGTGTCCACGTTTCGTAGCTGGCGTGCCGTTGGGCTAGGGCTGGCCCCCGGGGTCCAGGGCGAAGGTTCCGACCTCTGGGCGCTGTTAGGGTGTCCGTGGGCATCCATATCCAGTTAGAACTGCCCGGCCGCTGCGGGGTCCTGCCTGCGCCTTTGCGCGCGGTGGGGCAGGTTAGCCAGGCAGACCCCCAGAGCCCTCATTTCACTATGGCAGCTGGACGCCGACAGCCCTTATCGCAGATTTCGAGGGACCCAACTTCTCAGACCTCGCAGGGCCGGATCCCACGTCCGGCCGGACTCAGCGAAATAAATAGCCAAAGCCCCTTTTCGGAGCCCGAACTCCTCCGCCACTCCCCACCTCCCGCGGAGATTTCGCCAAATCTCTGCACTTCTCAGTTTCTTGGAAAAGGAAAGGTAGCGAGCTTTTCCAGTGTAGATGAAGCTAGGTTCCTGTAGCCCCGTGTCCTTGGGGTTAGTCTTTGAGCTTCTTATTTTCTGTAACGTGAGGTAATTAATGTCTTTCATGCTTTGACTTATAAAAAACTATGCAAGAGACCGGGCAGAGACACCTTGAAAACATTACAAAACGAGTGCACAAAACAGTAGTACCTAGAATTTTAATTTGTGGTGTATAGTGGCAGGTGTTTTGGGGCCTTGTCATTCTAAGAACCTTTCTCAGTACCTTGAATGCTTTTCTATGTGTTCTTTCAAACAAGCAGGGCACTTTTCCTTGTCAAAGCAAGTAAAGCCTAGAGGCAGATTCAAACATAAGAATTTTCTTTCTATATTTTCCTTTTGGCTTGATTCCTAGGAGGCATATACTTAACTTCTTCTACCTCCCCAAATATTAAATTTATGAAATGCTTATAAAGTGCTTTCCTTTGTTACCTCATCAGAACAGTTATCTGATTTATCTATTATTCATCCCTGTGTTGGGAAAACAATGAGGTTCAGGGACGTTATTTGTTCCTGGCTGAGCTACGGGCCAACCTAGCTAGCTCCCTTGATCCCAGATACTTTGGTCTTTTTTATTAGTTACACTATAATGTAATTTCTTTTTTAGAAACACATAACTCCAGCTCCAGAAAGAGGAAGATGTGTACTGTGGCAGGCTCCTTTCAACTTTCTTTGTTACCTACAATTTCCCTTTTCCCACTCAATTTATCTAGTACAATCTCTGAACTGCACCCTACACTTTGCAGCTCTTGTAACCTATTAAGTACCTACAACATTTTAACTATTGAACCAGTCGAAAATAGAACTGGGACCCAAATCAACTGGTTTGGGGTATCTCACATAATAGTGATTAAAGAAAGCAGAACAGATAACCTGTTTCTGGTCCCTCTCAAAATGCGTTGTAGGACTTGGACTATGTTCTTATTAAATAGAATGATTCTGAATTTATGTTCAGGATATGATGAACGTCCTGTACCACCTCTTAAAATGCACAAGATTTCAAACACATTCAGTATCTAAATTAAAGGTTGGACTGCAGTAGAGGAGTCTGAGGCCTTGGGTTTCTGACTGGGGGAAAGGGTCATGATTAACATTCTGAGTGCCTGTCACATGCTAAGCACTGTTATAAGTGCTGTGCACATGTTACCTCATTTAAGTCTGTGAAGTTTTTTTTTTTCCAGTTTTATTTGAATCTCTTAGTATTTACCTTTGAGAAATTTTTAATCTTCTAGTGTGTACTTTTCTGTTGGTACTCCACCTTGGCATAAAATACTTGCTTAGTAAATATTATTTTTTATTTTGATAAAATCCTTGGGAGCAGGTCCTCTGTCATGAACTCTATCATCATTTGGTAGCTCCAGTACTATTTAACATCTTGCCCTGTGGGAAAAAAGTACTTGGTATATTTGTTACTGAAATCAATAAATGATAGATCATATTCAGTCTTGAGTTCTTCTGTTCAACTGACAGAAAGCTAATAAATTTCCAGTGTAGGTTATATGACCTGCAGCCTCTCCTACGGTATCACCTTTACATTTATTTTTTAATTGCTGATACAGATGCATCTGTAATATTTGGTTTTTGTAATCAAACAGTCCCAATTACAAGGCAACTTAGAAGGTAAGATTGAAATATAACCAGCTTAACACCAGAAATGAAGTAAAATTATATATGTCTTTTTGCAATAGCAATTCTGAAATTGTTTTTATACAGAGTAACAACAAAGGCATCAACTTCATTATTTTACCATTTTAAGTTTGGTTTATATATTTATTGAAATGGTTATTCTCTAAACATCCACATCATTCTATCAGTATCTTCCTACAACATGTTTTCTTCTACCATTTTATTTTATCCTTTGTTTCATGTTCAAGGTTCAAACTTTCTTAACTTGCAACACCAATGAATGTGGTTTGAAACCAATAGTGGCTCAAACTTTTATCTGAGCCTGTTATATCTGAACCCAAAAGCCTGACTAAAAGAGAAGTGCACTATCATTGCTAAGATTTCAGTACCTATCTCTCAGAATCTTCAATTCATAGAATTTTCCAGATTTTAGGTGGTCTGCTTTGTGACTCTTGTAGAATTACAATGCGAATAGATTTCCAAAATAATCTGGATATTCAACTGATATTTTAGTCTTTAATAACTACATGCTTAAATAACCTAAACCTCCTGTTCATGCAAAGAGAACTTGTTCCTGCTTTCAAAGTCACGAGCAGAAAACCTTAGGTTCAAAGGTAAAAAAAATTGTCAGAACAGAATTGCTAGTGATGGTACAGGTGCAGCGTCCATAGTTTCCTTGTTTGGCTCAAGTACTCTGGGAATGAATTCTCAGAATTACATAGCAGAAGTGATATGTTTCCTAGATACCACTACCAGAAGAATAAAAAAGTAGAGTAAGTAAAGGATTTTATATCTTACAATTATCAGTGTTAGTATAAGAAACATTCCAAAATGCTAACCCTTTTAAACCCACATCAGACATTCTTTACACTACTTCTTCAGTGTGTCTTATTTCCCAACTTTTTTTTTAGAGTAAGACAAAACTCAGATGAAAACTTTCACTCAAGGATAAACCCTTATTTCTGAAAGGCCTTTAGAAGGAAATGCATTTACATAATGTGAGGAAACTATTGTGAGAATTAAATGTAGAAATGAAAAACCAAAGATATGGGGCGTAATCCCAGATCAGCCTTTTTCCTTTAAGAATCCGATTCCCATTTTAGAAACAGTGCTTTTATCACCATATTCAGCATTACTTTTTCTTTCCTATAGCCTGCTGCCCTTTTAATAAATCTTTTGCTCTACCAATGGTGATCTGTAGACATTTGTACTAGGGTCCTTGAAGGGCTATTTCAGGTTTAGAATTCTTGCCGTAGGATGAATTTGATTAGCAGAATAGTCAAGACTATTAAAAAGGCAAGATATTGAAGTCTGTTTTTCTCCCTCAGACATATTTTCCCATGAATCAGCTCTTCTGAAAGCTATCCTGGTGAATTGTTCTGCAAATTTTTTCCAAGATGCTGACAAAATGTTAACAGGCACTAACCTAGACTTCTCCTGCCACTCACTAGTTATTCTCACTATATCGTCCTTAAATGTTAATTCCATTTCCTTCCAGCCCTTAGCTAGACTTCATTAGAGACTAAGCTGGTGAAATACTGAACTCTCTCTCTCTCAACTTCTCAAACAGGAAGGATTTTGACATACTTGCAGTGCCATTAGGAAATATTGACAATCCTTGATCTTTCTGATAATTTAAGGCCTAGAACCATCAAAAGTCCTAGGTTCACATCCTTCTCCTAAAATGGAAGAAATGAAGAAAACTCCAAGTTTGGTGCAGTTCTAAACTTCCTTATACTGCTCTGTGACATATAAGAAAATTGATCTAATTTCCCTTTTCATTCTAATCAGTCTTGGAATTCTGGTTTTGTATGTTCTCAAAAAGACTATAATGGTACATCAGGTGATCTGTAAGCATCTTCAAAAAATTTCTATTTCACTATAAGGCATCTAAGGACGTTGTTAAATGACTTGCAGTGAACGTTTTCTTGCTTCAGAGATATCCAGCAGGGAAGTCCTTAGAGATGTCTGATTTGAGAGGAAATCCACAATTGTTCCAGTACATATTTCTAATATTCGTCAATGACCCTCTGAACATCATTAAGATGGAAAGTTTTTCATAGTCCCTTGTCACACATTTTGGACTCCTTTTTTAGTTCTCTTGTGGTTCAATACAAGTAGAGAGAAATCAGTGGTGGATAGAATGTGAGAAACTCAGTTATTCTCCATCTGCCACTGTTTCAACTCTTGAAATTAATATTCAAACCTTATGGTAAATGAAGTCAGAACAGAAGATGTGTTTCCTTTTTTAGAGTTTCTCAGAAGTGGTAAGCCCAGTACATGGTGCAAAAAGGTGTAATATAAGGCTGTGGGTTCTGCTTGACTGAATAATCACAATCCAATAGGTTTGCAGAAATTCATAGAAAATTTATAAACAACATCTCATTTCTTCTTGACAATGGCGACTCGAAGTATTGATACAAAACATCTCAGGCGAGAAGTTTTAACATATGTTCACTTTCCCTTTTCCCAACCTTTCTCACCACAGGTCCTAGTCAATAAATACACAAATTTGGATCCCTGTTCTTTCCCACTCTTGTCTAAAGGCACAATGAGATGCCTTTTGGAGATGGTCAGCTTACATCTTTTTTCTTGTTTGGTGTCATATAAGGAGAGTGCTCATTAGAATCTGTTCCATGCAATGCCCATTGCTATGTAAGTGACCTCTCATCTGGTTCGAGGGGGTTGTGTGGCTGGTGACTGAGCTTCAATGACTAGAAAAGTCCTAAGATCTTGGCTCCTAGGAAAGCATGGGAATAAAGTCCATTTTAATTTAGACAGTTTGGAAGGGTCTGCTCTGGCTGGGGATCATGCTGGGTGTGGTTTCTGCTTTGGTCAGGGTCACATGGACTTTCTTTGGTTCAGAACCTCTCATCTCTGGCCCCACTAGGCTGTATGCATGGGTGGTCAGCCCTGGCTGGGGTGCTGCTTCAGTCGACAGTGTCCGCTGGCTGCGTGAGGCACTATTTGCTGTGGAGCGAGTGGAGGAAGAACCAGAGCGTGAGCTCTGAGAGCCTGAGGAGGAGGAACTGGGTTTCACAAGGCGGGCTTTCGGGGCTTCAGCATCTTCTCTGAAGAGAAAAAACAGCAAAGATAGAATTTAATACTGGCAAGACTATGATAATTTCCACTATGGTTGCTTTCTTCTGAGGTTTCCTAATAAAATTTTCAAGCTATAAACTTCAAGTAATACTATTGGAAGGCAGCCATTCAGGGAAATAGGGTTTTGCCCATTTTCAGAGACATCGGTTGGCCAAGGCAGATATATGCTTTGTTAGCCCAGAGGTCAACCCTTTACTCTGAGAGACTACGCACTCACTTTTGAAGTGGTCTAAACTGCTCTCCCCTTGATTTGTAAACCCTCATGGCCCATAGGCTATGCCTGTTTTTTATTGTATGTCCTTTATAAGCAGAAGTAAATCAGAAGTTGACCTTTTACATCTCCGTTGAAGATAGTTTCGCAATAAAGTTAAGGTAAGCCAGACCTTCTGTCCCTAGTTTGGAACCCCTTACCTACCAGAATAATCCTTTTAACAGATTCCCGGTTAAGAGGAAATGGAACATTTATGTTGGCTGGTCACTATGGAGCTGGCCCTAGAAAGGAAGCCTAGTGAAAGAGGAGATTTTTGGAGGAAAGTTTACCGAATTTCATTAGGTCTCTCTTCTTCCTCGTATCTCTCTTTGTCTTTCCTTCGGATTAGCAGCCACACCAAGAGGAAAATCAGCAAGGCTCCAGCCACCATGCCTGTCACTGCCCCTGCAACCATGCCGATGCTTTGTACATCTATTTTCTCAGAAACAAAAGCAGAAATAAAACCAATGTAGGAAATATGTGAACTTTAAAAACTTAAGCCCTGGACAGGATGAATATTTCCAGACCCTTGTATTTATCTTCCTAAGTTCCCTCTCTTGGTGTATGACTATACCTCTTGATATTGAAGGGTAATAGAATATGCCACCCCAAAATATGCCTCTTTGACATTAAGATTATTTTAAGCTGGTTATTTTTGAGAAACTGCAGACATAGGAAAAGCACTAAAAACAAAGTAGAAGTTGCCTTTTTGCAAGAGAAATTTACATTTATAAAGGAAACCTCCATTTGGTCCCCTCCAGGATATAATAAATTTCTTTAGGGGGCTGGTAAATTCACACATATTTGTAAATATTGAGCTTGCTACAACTGTTGAATGGTCCTTGCAACTACTGAATTTATTTTAGTGATAGCCACATCCTTCTAGAAATAAAGATTTTTAATTTGACCTTATTTTTACTTGAGATTAGAAATGTCTTACACTGAACCACAATGCAAAAAGAAAACAAACACACCCTTTGGATACTTACACTGCACAGTGACTCGTACCACACAGCTTTCCTTTCCAGCCTCATTGCCAGCTGTGCACTGGTAGAGTCCAGAGTAGGACATGGTAAGATTCTGCAGCAGAACACGTCCAGGGTTGTTGTAGTCTACACAAACAGAAAGAATGACTGTAATCCTCTTAGTGACAGGATCTATATTTATTGTTTATTGCATCATTGACCTAAGAGTCTCTGATACAGTTTGGTAAGGATGAAATGATAGACTAGATCCTATTTTGGATTGTGGAAAGAAAGGTGAATATTCTTTTATAGTGCATCCTCAAAAGTTATAAAAGGTCATGAACATTTAAGGGACACTAACCAAGATAATGAGATATAATGGATTTATATAGTACATTTCTTCCTAATTTCTTCAACCACTTTTACATGCCATTTGAGGAAAGAAAAGACAGATTTTCTGTCGCAGTTTATGGATGACAAATAGAAGTTCAGAGAGGTTAGGCAGTGTATTCAAGGTAATGTGGCGAATTGCTGTCAACAGGATAGAATACTGTCCTGTTCTCTCAGACTGGTAGAAAGATGACTTACCAATCCTGGATTTGGGAGGCAGATACTCATCCTCTCCCTCCTTCTCCCGGATTCGCTGCCAATAATAAACGATGGGCTTCGTGCCAGAGGATGACTCACACTGCAAAGTCAGGTCACTTCCTTCTGTCAATTCTCCTTCTAACTCACACTTGGGCTTTGATGGTCTCACTGGCAAGAAAAAAAAAGTATTGATTCATAGATCCCCAAATAGTAGATTCAGTGGAAGAACTATATCCTGTTGAGTTTCTCCAGCCATCCCTTAAGGTCAGCTTTTGAGTGAGGATTCAGTAGATTGTTACTTAGTTACCTAGCCTTGTGTTACATCACCCCCAGAAATACACCCACCTCCATCTCTTGCATGCACATATACCCAGTTCCAGCTGCTTCCAGTGGTGCTGTTGTAATTTTCAGAGGTTGCCTCAGAAACTACATTATCACTTCTCAAAGAAGAGAAATATTTAACTGGAAATTTAAGGAAAGTTGAGTATGGTTTTACTGATGAAACAGAAGTTTATTAATTTGGAACACATTAAGTAGAACTTTGTAGCTCCTGCTGTCAAAAAAACAAAAACAAAAACAGTAGCTCATGCTGAATCATAGCTGAGAGATTTAAGTTAAATATAAGGATATCACTAAAATAGTAGAATATAATATTTTTAATGGGCTACCATGGAAAATTGTAATTATTTTTCTTTCATTATGGCTAAAACAACATACACACTTCTTCCCAAGGAACTGGAGTAGGTGACCTCTGAATGTATAATCCAAAGTACAGGAAATTTTGTACCACCAAGATGCATTTGGCTATCCTTCACAGAGGTTTTATTAATTAGATGTAGTCACTTACCTTGGCACTCTTATCTTACCTAAGACTTTTAAGATGACATGGCTCCATACATAGCGCCCTGAATTCTTCACCTTGCAGGTGTACCGGCCCTCATCACTGGGCTTCAGAGGCTCAATCTGCAGGGAAGCATCTCCTGCCAGGAAATTGGAAGCAAAGGCCACTCGGCCCTTCTGTTCTTCAGTCAAGTTATTGTAGACATGACGGCTGGAGTAAGTGATTACCTGTGGGATAGACCAATGCAGGTGCAAGCAGTATGACTCTCAGCCTTTTTCTCCTGCTGATGTCAGTTTGAGGAATGGGAGGGAATACTCCCAATGGAATGAAGCAGTCAAGCCTGAGGCCTGATTCTAAAGATCCAAGAGACCTCTGTTCTCAATAAAGTTAAAAATGCAATGTTTAAATCGTGCTGCTTCTTCTAAGAATAAAATAACGCCTCATATTTGTGTAGCATTTTAATTATAAAGTAGTAATTATTAAGTACTCAGAACCATTCCATTTTATAGGTAAAGACTTTTAAATGTGAGTTACATGTTCAAGGTCTCACAGCTAAGTCAAGCTAAGAAGGAAATACACAATAAATACACATAACGATATTAAAAGTTGACTCAGAATTGAGAGAATAGAGGACCAGGATAGGGAGGAAGACCTTTACCCTGTGTACCTTTTCTAACTTTTACATATTCTACCACTTGCATGTGATTTATTCAAATTACACTGTAGTCCCTGTGCTAGGTGCTTTTACATCTAGTTTATTTCTCACGCAATGTTTCCTGAGTGGTCTTTGTCCCCATTTCACAAACAGGTAGCAGAACCTGGATTTGAAAATACCCATTTAAGCCATTTAGTTCATACTTCTGGTATATTACAGTTACCTCTCTCTCCCTTTTCCTACCTGCATTCATTTTGCTACTCATTAACTGCTTATTCAGAAAGTTTGGAAATAAAGAAGAAAAAGGAAAACAAAAAATCTATTTGTTTTGTTCTTACAAAAGTTTAGAGCCCAGTTGAAGAGATTAGAGAAGTTAAGGAGTAGAAGTTAATGGTTAAAATTCAGGTCTGATACTGAGGACTTCATTGTTTGGCTTTCCTTTTTGACTTCCCTGTGGATTGGTAAAAGTCAGTTAGGTGGGAAAAAATTATGTCCTTTCTTTCCATAAAATACACAAGAGCTTCATGTCTTTGTTTTCCCAGGTAGAGAAACCAAAGTTTAGATTTCCCAACAGAAAATAGTAATCTTGATTTTTATTGCATTTTCAGCTGTCTGCATCATGACCTCTAGTTCTTGAACCTTTCCCTGGTTCTTTTGGTCCATCACCTCACTCCTGTTAGTCACAAAAAACAAGCTGATCTAAGACTTCAAGCTATATAACTTCAGTTTTGCCTTCTTTGCTGCTTAGCAATCATATTCTTAAATTCACTTGATTTAAACATCAGCAAACATTTATAGAATAAATGCTTCCCATCAGGTCAGGAGGAGGCTATTCAAATGAGTAAAACTCGCTTCCTGTCTTAAAGCAATTTATAATAGTAATATAGGAAGAAGGCAAGAGAATTAAAAATGTTAATCGAGCCACAATCAGAGACTGCGATATACTGATCAGCCCTGCAGCCAGGCCTGATCAGGACACCTTCAGAACAAAGGAAGATTTCTGCTATATTACTAACAACCCATTCTCCACACCTATGAAGGAGAAACAGGACCAAAGAGACATTCCCTATGGCTAAAACCATGGAGAACCTGTGGATTAAAGGCTAGGAACCGCCAGTAGGCCTTTCATTCTACATACTCTTCCCCTTCCTCACTGTATGTCCATATAAAAGGAAATGAGTTAACGAAGTCTTTTAAACAACAATTCACAGGAACTAAAGAAAGATATATAAGCTGAATTCCCTGAACACTCAGCCTCCTACTCACTGTCTTTCCAAATCTCTCTTGTTCCTTTCACTCTCTGCCTCCGAGAGAGGAGACTACACTCTGTGGAGTGTTATCCCTTTTCTAATAAACTTTCCTTTTGACTCCAACTTTGACATGTGTGTTGAATTCTTTCTACACTCTCTACCAAAGGACCCTCTTCTCTCCGTGCCGGGCTTTGTCTTCCCCCAACTCAGGGAAATTTGCCCTGTCCTGCATCAATAGGATCAACAAGGAGAGAAGTACGAACATTGAAAAAAGAAAGCATTAACTTGAAATAGTATCAAAGACAGTGTCCCAGAAAAGTTGGTGGCATTTAAGTTAGGCTTTGAAAGATGAAAAGACTTAAGTAAGAGATAAGAGAGGCTGGAAGAAGAGAGCTGGAGGGAGGATTCCAGCTACATAGTACAGCACTAAAAAAAAGCATGCAAGCATGTGGGAGTCTACCCAGCACATTTCTGGCTGCAGCTGTTCCAAATTGTTTCACTTCTACTTAACCCCATCCTCAATCACGTGATGCTCTGAAACTCATTAAATGCTTTCAGAAAAGATGTGAAACCATCCAATAAAATGTCCATCAATTCTTTCTTCAGTATATAAAACTCTTCAGTATCATCTATTTTGCCCTTACCGCCTGTCTGAGAAAAGAGTTTTCTCCTTTCTCTGCAATGTTCTGTTTCTTCAGCAAACATGTATTGAGCTTGCAGTCCAGGTACTGTGCTGGGAGTTAGAAAACAAGCAGAAATAAGACAGAGTTTCTGAGGACCCCACATTCTTGTGGGAGAAAAAAATAGGGGAGAAGCAAGTAAAAGGAAATTAAGGTAAACACTGTAACTGCTCATATACTTAAAACATTTTCAGTATACAATTTTGCCCCCTCATTTCAATCAACACCACTACTGTGATAACTCTCATATCCTTAATCTCTATTCCCAACATATTTTTGAGCTCCTGTTTCATATTTCCAGCTGCCTGGCTGTTGTATATTTCTGTCCTCTCTGCTCTACCCCACACAATAACATAAGTTAATGTCAAGTTAATATTAATGTAAAACTCACATTAGCTCTTTCCCAGCTCAAAAACGTTTTATGGCCCCTACCACCTCTGAATGATGACCAGATCTGGTCTAGGGTCCTCAAAATTATCTCTTCTTATTTAGTCCACCTCACATACTGGGTGCAATCAAATTATAAACCTGAGGGTCCTTATGACTTTGGTTAAATTTAGCTTTAACTCCTAGCTCTACCTAGCTCTAGAAATCCTATTTCTCTCTCTATATATGTACCCTTCAGAGACCTAGCCTTTCTCCCAATAATCAGCAAACCCTGAGGCAGCAGAATACAATAGTTGGGACCTAATGGTCACAAGGTTCAGACCTCTGGCAGGCTAAAGATAACATCTTGCCCTAAGTTATGCTTCAGCTCCTGAACCCTAAGGTACAACTGACTGCCCTGGCTACTTTCCCATAAAACCAGGCAGAGAGTCACAGGGGACAGACCTCAAAACTGTCCTCAAGACCTGAAGGAACGGTTTATTACCCTTACCTCACCTCTGACCAATTAGTTCTCAGCAGCAACCCTGAACCCCCTAATCTACAGTGTCTTGTGATTTTGCTCTATATAGCCTCTAACCTACAGATCATTGAGTCATTGAGGAGTTAGGGTTTTGAGCATTAGCTTCCTCTCCTGGGTGGCGCCATTCATAATAGAATAGCCAATCTTTCTCCACTGCAATTCTCCATGTTTAGTGTTTGGCTCTGCTAGCACCAGGTGGATGAACTCTTCCTGTTCAATAATAATCACATTATCTTTCTTTAATATGACTTGTACTTTCTTGGTACTCACATGCCTTTGCTCGCTGTGTTTTTTCACTTAGAAAATCTCTTTTCTCCATCTCTCTACATAAAGAAACCCTATCCATACTTTTAAATCCAAAATCAATGTTAACTCCTCATGAAATCTTCCCTGATATGACACTCAGACTATGAATGGTCTCTTTTCTTTGCTCTCATCCATAGCATTTCTTTATACCATTTTAATGTGAGGAGAAATTGTGAAAGACTTTGGACAAATAGGTTGCTGGATCCCCATTCTATAATGTTGGGTGTTGTCCAGGAGCTCCCGTAAGGCCTTCTGATTTTATGTCTGCTGCCTTCGATTGTCTTTGGCTAGGCTATTTTGCAACCCTGAAGTCCTTTCTTTAATAAACATTTACTGAAAACATACTCTGTGCTTGGCATTGTGCTAGAGATGATAACAATACAAAGAAATGAGTTTTATAACTGTTGTTAGAGACCAGGACATGCCACCCCCAAATATGTCACTTTGCATATACATAAGAATTAATTCCATCTAAAGGCATCTGGGCTCCTGAAATCCCTTATCTGCCTAAAAGCAGAGTCTCCCAAAAGAATTTAAGTGCCATAAATCCCTTCCCCCAGAGCAACTCTAATCATGTCTTCCAGGAGACCAGATATCATGCACCACAACCAGACAGACATCATCACAAACTAGTATATCTCCCATCTCTTCTCCTAAAGGCCCTTTTATCTTTCTACAAGTGCCCTTTCTGCCCCTCCCTTTCTCCTGCTAAGTTAGATATATTGAGCCTAAGTCCTAACCTCCTCTTTGAGTTACTCAGCTCTGGGTACTTTCATATGTTACATTCTTGATTCACAGGTTAATAAACTTCTCTTGTTTTCTGTCTTTTGTCAATCTAATTTACAGTGCCCCAGCCTGAGAACCTGAGAGTAGAAGGAAAAATGTTTTTTCCTCCTCTATGGTTTTAAAGGACAACTTTAAAAAAGAAAAGTTAAAATCATGACATAGAAAATAAACATGTATCAAAGACTATATTTAACTCATTATTAATGATGGAACTAGAGACATGTTATAATAGGTTGAAATAAGAATGAGACTAAAAGAGATTTCTATTCTTTGGACAAAATTCGTTTGCATCTCTATGGGCAAGAATGATTTGCTTCCCTATGGATAGGAAACATGGCATCACCATCAGCATTCTACAAGTGAATTTTAATTTCTGTGGAAATTCATACATGAGCAAAATTAGACCCTAATTTATGTCCAGAAAACCTGGACTCTAAGCATAAAGATAATGTTCAGGAAGCAGCTCCCTGTGGTGTATGTGGGGGTGGGGGCAAGTTCTCAGGTCCTTGTACGGAGGGCCTGAGAGTCGGGAGAGATCCCCTATTGATATAATAAGGAGGGGAATTAGATCTCTCGAAGGCTGCTTCTCCTGTCCCCACTCTTCTACTGCCTCCTCCCTGAGCATGTCGTCTCCAGGTTCAAT